AAACACAATGCATTAATCTCACTAGTAATGTTTTTGGACTCTGCTTGTGTGACCTGTCTTTATCTAAATGCCATATTTTGTTAAGATTGGTTTATTATTTGTTAGGGAATATCACTATTTACGTTAAAGCATCTTCTTTTCCTCTGAAAAGTTGATTTTTGAATGCTCTCTGGGATTGACTAAGAACCAAAGCATAGAGTCCCAAGTCAGATCTTTGTTCCCTTGTAGCTGGTACATGTTAGAATGTTGGTGCGCTTCATATGCTTGCCTTTTTGGTTTGATCTTGGCCCTCTCCCTGTCCAAGTAGATCAGATAGAATACCTTATTTCTCGTGGAACTTCTCAGAGACAAACAACAGGGATATAACTTAAAAGATTAAACTTCTCTTCTCCTTTTGACCCTCTACCAATCTGTGTTATTCAAAATCCTGAAAAAATTGCTTTTATCCTAGACGCAAATCCAGATCTCCTTCCCCTAGAAGACGGTCTTCCCCTGTCAGGAGAGAGAGAAAGCGCAGTCATTCTCGATCTCCCCGTCACAGAACCAAGAGCCGGAGTCCTTCCCCTGCTCCAGAAAAGAAGGAAAAAACTCCAGAGCTCCCAGAACCTTCAGTGAAAGTAAAAGAACCTTCAGTACAAGAGGCCACATCTACAAGGCAAGTTCATTTATTTATAAACACAATTTTAGACGGTTGATAGTGTCTGCCGATATGATATCTCTGAGTTTAAAACAAATTACTAGATCAGTGTGGTGGCACATGCTTGTAATCTCAGCTACACAGGAGGCAAACACAGGAAGATCACAAATTTGAGGCCAGCCTGGACAATTCAGCTAGTGAGACCATGCTCAAAATAAAAACAAAGGCTGAGGATGTAGTGCAGTAGTAGAGCATTTTCCTGGTGTGCTTAAGTGTAGGTTCAATCCCCAGTACTGAAGAAATGTTTGCCTTTTAGATGTTGAAAATGATAAAATTGACTTGTTCAGACAAAACTGCATACATTATAAGGAAAACACGCAGAGGTGAATACTGTGTGTTGGTTGTATTGTTTCATTGTACATTGTTTTACAATGTTTTATATACTGTAATTTGACCTTTTTTTTTTTTTTTGAGAGAGAGAGAGAGGAGGGAGAGAGCAAGAGAGAGAATTTTAATATTTATTTTTTAGTTTTCGGCGGACACAACATCTTTGTATGTGGTTCTGAGGATCAAACCCGGGCCGCACGTATGCCAGGCGAGCGCGCTACTGCTTGAGCCACATCCCCAGCCCCTAATTGACCTTTTTTAAAGTTTTTTTTTTTTTTTTAAGTTGTAGCTGAACACAATACCTTTATTTTATTTTTATGTGGTGCTAATGATCGAACCCAGTGCCTTCCACATTCAAGGCAAGCACTCTACCACTGAGCTATAAACCTATCCCTTGACTTCTTAATATATTGTGAATACTTGTTAGGGTTTTTGGTTTATTTTTGTTGTTGCTGTTGTTGTTTTGGTTTTTAATTGTGGATAGAATTGTTAGTCATTGCCTATGATCCCAGCAACTTGGGAGGTTGAGGCAGAAGTATCAGGATCACAAGTCCATCCTCAATAATTTTGGCAAGATCCTGTCTCAGAATAAATGAAAATAGCTGGGGGTGGAGCTCAGTGGTAGAACAACCCTGGGTTCAGTCCCCAGTACCAAAAAAAGAAGAAGAAATTGTCACTTAGTGAGTTCTACTGATAAGTACATACCTTTTTGGAGCCAGAGAGAAGTCTTTGTTAATTTTAAAAACCTTGTTAAAAATATATATATTATTATGTCATACTGACTTAACAGCTTGTAGTAGAAGAGGAAAAAAAAATAAGCTTTTATTTCCACAGTGACATCTTGAAAGTTCCCAAGCCTGAACCTATACCAGAGCCTAAAGAACCTTCTCCTGAAAAAAATTCCAAAAAAGAAAAGGAAAAGGAAAAGACTCGCCCAAGATCTCGGTCACGTTCCAAATCAAGATCACGGACGCGTTCTCGGTCTCCTTCTCATACTCGCCCAAGACGGCGCCATAGATCCCGATCAAGGTGAGTTGAGGTCTTAAGATCAGGACAAATTTTTTAAAAATTATTGATGGACTCAATACCTTTATTTTATTTTTATATGGTGCTGAAAAGTCAAACCCAGTGCTTTACACATGCTAGGCAAGCGGTTTACCACTGAACTACAACCTCAGTCCTCAGGATAGATTATTAAGTTGTATATGCTATTTTCCTAAAGAATCATGTAAGTAATATTAAAGTAGTAGAAAATATTTGTACAGATGTTGTTATTTGGATTTACACATGAACAATTTTCTGTATACCATAAAAATCTATGAATAAAAGATTGTAGCACTTGAAATTCATATTTTAAATCTGGCTTTTGGAAAAAACAGTCATGGAATTCTTTGCTCTAGATTTATTCAGTCTAATTCTGTCTGTTTCGACAGATCATATTCGCCTAGAAGGCGGCCAAGCCCAAGAAGGCGGCCATCTCCTCGAAGAAGAACTCCACCGAGACGAATGCCTCCTCCACCAAGGCATCGAAGGAGTAGATCTCCTGTTAGACGGTCAGTGGTGTTTTAATTTGAAAGTGTGAAACGTTTTGACACTTAGTATAATTTTTAAGAATAATTTCAGGATAATCTTCATTAGTGAAAGAAAGATCTCATAAATGATATTATAGATGTGTTGTAAAAAGCAGTAGTGCATTTGAAGTGTAAAGCTGTTTGAGTTGTGAAAAATGTCTATTTCAGTATTGAAAAAAAAAAAAAACAAGAAATCTACCCTCTTGCAGATACTTAAATGTTTACCCTTTAGGATTTTACTAAGAAATTCTATCCAAGAAAGAGAATTAGTCACCTTCCATTTGACTTAACTTATGAAAAGTAGTTGAGTACAGGGCCACTAAGCTACCTTTTACCAGTTTAAAAATAATCCATTCACTATTATGCTTTAATTTTTTAAAGTGATTTTATTTCTCATACAGATGATGGGATAAATTGTATACAGTTCAAACAAAAATTGACTGTTCCCATAATCCTATTTCATTGATATTGGGGATTTGCTATTTGGCTAGTCATAAAATCTAACCCTGCCAATACCAGTTTCTTTGCCCTGAATAATTCTGAAATAAGCATAAGGTAAAATTTTAGATTTAAAATGTATTACTAAAATGAGATTGTGAGTAGATATGTCCAAAGTACAGGCCTAGAACACTTTTAGCAGAGTTTTGCTGCCTTAATAAAACATCTTGCCTGTTTTTGAAAGGAACCATGATGATGACCAAACTTCAGGTTGTACATTGGACAGGTTAGGGTATTTTGTTTTTGTTTGGTTGGTGCTAGGGATTGAAACCACTGCCTTGAGCGTGCTAAGTACATGCTCTATTACTGATTGTGCTTACTAAGCCATTTACAGTCAACCTTGCATATCTGAGTAAGGTTTCTTTCAGGGAACCAAATCAACTTGTAAATAAAGAATAACATCAAATAAAACTCCATGAAGTTTATTTCTTCATTCAGGTTTTTTGTAGATACACACAGAAACATATATATGATAAGTTCTTGAGGTGTATTGAACAATTATTCTATTAAAAATAACAGAATTGATGTTACTACTTAAAGGTGAGACCAGTGGTGTAAATAAATGGTCAGCCATTTCAGGCATTGCACTTTTCTAAAATTGATCATTTCTCTTTAGCAAATAAGGAATGCTGGTGCTTTCTAGTAGAACAGTAGTGGAAACAGCTATTTCTTATAATTGGAGTTTTGCAAATAGCATGTTTTGATTGTGCTTACTAAGCCATTTACAGTCAATATTTTGCAGATTGTGTAAAATTCCCTTTCAGCCAGTTTTTATCTTACACTTAAGGTAGGGTTTCTTTTTTTCAGGTTCTCAGGAATTCTTCTGCCAAAGGTGAATTCTGCAGGTACACATAATTGCACAGAACTTACCACAGATTTTGCCGCAGAATTCGAGAGGCCCTGCTTCTAAGTTTATGTAGCTAAATGAATTCCTAATCTTGCACCTTTTTTTTTTTAATGCAACTTAAAGGTTGCCTGACTTTGTATTATTAAATGAAAAACACTTTGTCATCCAATTTTGTATGCAAACTCCAAAACACCAGTATCTTTCCAAAGGAAGAAAGAGGCTGGTTTGTTATTGTGTGATAGCATTGAACTTGACAAGTTTTATAATTGGAGGGACAACTTCATCAGAAGCATTTATCATTATGTTATTTCTGTTTAATCTCAGAACTAGCTGTTTCCTGTTGTAGGTTATGATTTTGTTTCTCGTTATTTTTGACTGATTTATGTACTTAGCTACATAAACTCAAAAGTTGGATAAAAGTAGCTGTATTTTTATGTAAACCATACATGCCTATAAAGGTCATTTTTTATAAATGTGTAGTTTCTGAATATAAATACTTTATTCCACAGAAGAAGGCGTTCATCAGCATCCTTGTCTGGGAGTAGCTCATCATCCTCTTCATCTCGTTCCCGGTCACCGCCAAAGAAGCCTCCCAAGAGGACATCTAGCCCCCCTCGAAAAACTCGTAGGTTATCTCCTTCAGCAAGTCCTCCTCGGAGAAGACACAGGCCATCACCTCCAGCAACTCCTCCACCAAAAACTCATCATTCCCCAACACCCCAGCAGTCAAATCGTACAAGAAAAAGTCGTGTTTCTGTGTCTCCAGGGAGAACTTCAGGTAAAGGTAAAAATCAAACACACAAAAACATCATGTTCTCTCTTTGGCTACTCAGAGCATACTATCTGTGGTTGTCCCCTGTTCACTCTCGAAGTGTGAAGAAGTTTTTTGTTCTTACCTTTTCATGCTTTAAGTTCTTGGGTTGAAATAGAGACTTCATGTAAAAGTGGTTTGTTTTCTAGAATGCCCTCTGGCATTGAACAGTTTTGAGAAATACATCACTAGCTGTGGACTGTTGGAAATGGGACAGCTAATTGAAGTATTGTCACTGATCAGGGTTCATTTTATTACTCGATGAGACTAGTTACATTTTTCCCTAGAGATTGTTCATTTGATATCTTATTTGAGGACTTTGTATTCTTCCTTAATTCTTTATTGGCCACATTGTGCTCTCAAAGGAAGGACATGGTGTCCTGTTAAAACCTGACTTGTTTTTTTAAAT